AACACACAGGAAGGACCATTTCATAGAACCCACCCTGGGAACCACACAGGAAGGGACCATTTCGTAGAACCCACCCTGGGAAACACACAGGAAGGGACCATTTCGTAGAACCCACCCTGGGAAACACACAGGAAGGGACCGCTTCGTAGAACCCACCCTGGGAAACACACGGGAAGGGACCGCTTCGTAGAACCCACCCTGGGAAACACACGGGAAGGGACCGCTTCGTAGAACCCACAGCCTGTGGCATCGAAATACACTTCTAACATTAAAGTAAAATGCACATGCATTATGGTTGGCCTCTCCTCCAATCTCAAGGAAGTCCAAAATGGAATATATTCTTAACTTTAAATTGGAGGATTTTCACAGGGTCGGGGATCTAATACCAATTATATGAATCCCTCCTTTCTCTGCAGTTGGATAAGTAGATCAATAATTCTTTCTGAATGAAGAAATAATGTAACTTGCTAACGATGACTTTCAAAAAAAATTACTCACAAGCCGACCTGTGAAATCGGTCCATAGTGCAGGTTCGTGCAGATTCTGCAAAGCCTGCTGATGTGTGTGTGTGCAAGTGTGAGGGAGAATGTTAAACTGGGGACCCAGTGGAAGATGAAAAATAAACAGCTGAGGAATGAAGTTTACTAATCTTTTTTCTGGGGTACTATGACATGCTATAAAACAGAGTCAGAAATGACCCTCAAACAAGCTGGTTCCATTGGCCAAAAACAAATTCCAGGGTATTTGCACAGCATATTCAGGGCATCATAGTAAGTGATTTACTAAAAAAAAAAAAAAAAAAAAAGAAGCAAGATGGAAAGGCAGATGTAAAATACGCCTAGAAATGCATCTATGCATCAGTGTGAAGAAACGGTTACCAGACACAAATGCAGCTTCATTCTGGCGATTACTCACTTGACTTGGGAAATCTGGATAGAATGGCAATTCATTTTTTTCTATGTTAGTGGATGTATAGAAGCGTGGTAGACGGGACATAATATGCGTTTTGCCTTGAAACCTATTCTTTCATTTTTTAAATATTTATTGTGTGTCTAAAGTGATGTGGGTCTGGGAGAGGCGCTTAACTACTGACTGAAAGTTCAGAAAAATTTGGCTTGACCTCTTTGCAGCTCCGTTTCTTCATTTATGTAACAGAGCTAATAGTACCTATCACAAAGGATTGTTAACGAGGGTTATTCTGCCGGGTCCTTCACTTGCCACTTCTGATAAGAGACAGTTTTGGAAGTGAGCTCAGGTTCCCTTTGTTAGCAGGCCCCCCAGCAGCGTGAGTGCCTCCAGCAGGGGGAGCAGAGGGCAGGGTCTGTGCGGAAGCCGCAGCTTGCCGCAGCCTTTTCAGAGACAGCTTCGGCATGGTGCCTTCCTGTTTCCTAAACATTCCTGTAGTCAATTCATCTCCCTGTTTACGCAGAGAGTTTTGTATTTTCAGCATCGGTCCATGACTGTGCCACTGTACAAAAGTCTCAAGTGTCCTGTCAGAGTAAAACTCTAGTAACTCAAAATCTCAGACGTGGGAGTTTCATTTGAGTTGTTTTGAAATTTACCTAAATTTCACATGTGTGAAGCAATTCAGCAGGTCTTCCTTGGTCATTATTCAGTCAGTGCAGAACGGGGGCTCCCATCTGAGTACAGAGGGACAACCACGAAGTTCACGTGTCATGACCTGACCAGCAGTCGGGGGGCGGGACATGAATTCCTACAGTTTTACCACCATCTTCTGGACACTTTTAAAACACAGGCTGAAGCAGTAGAAGGCCTTGGAGTCACGCTCGACATCAAGGTAACACAGCAGAACCTCTGGGGGTGACCACCCAAGGGACGGTGACTCACTGGTCCACACACACGGGTGTCACCATAAGGAACTAGGCCTCCCGTGCTGACACACACGTGGTGCATGTCCGGTCTGTGAAAATTAGGTCATCTTATGGAGGTGGTGAAGGTAGGGAGATGGCCAGCTGTGGAGGGGCTACTGTATTCAATTACATTGCAGTAGGTCCAACTGTTACCATGTTTCATTTTATTTAACTCACTAAAAACTGGTAATCGCTAGCTGATATATAAATCTTAATTGAGTGCAGCCAGAAACTCTATTCCTTAACTATTTGGTTAAATGACAGTTTATTATATTTGCAAATAATAAAATGGAATTTCTTTCCAAGTACACCCAAACGGGAACTTTTTCTTAAATCCGATTAATGTTCTTCCATAGTTGAAATCGGTGAGTTTTTAATTACATTGTTCATCGGTGATGTCACATGATGTGATCTTTTGACACAGCCCCACATCTATGTCCCTCCTAAGGTACTTGCTGGTGTGCCCTTGGAATTTAAGGATGGTTAGTCTGTTTATATAGACGTTCACTTTTTACTTTAAATTGACCCAAGACGCAAGCCTATGCTAGCAATACATTTGATGCTTCAAACTGTACGTTTTTTCATTTAAAAAGAAACATCTATAAGTCTAAGTTCTTATTTCTGAACATTCTTTAATTCCTTAGAGTCCTGTCAAATTTCAGCATAGGCTGCTTAAGCTTTAGGTCCAGGATCACTGATAAAAATTAAATTTCATCTCAGGGAATGTGAAAGTGGAAGGTGCTAGATAGTCAGATCCCTCCTAACTGGAGATTTGTTCACTTAGCAATTTACAAAAGGCAAGATCTTTTTAAGAAACAAACCTCTTGAAGTGTATGGTAATCATTATAAAAACTAGAGTAGTTTGAATATCACACAAATAATGAGATAAAATATATAAAATGGACATTCTGAGTCCACTGTGGCCACTGATGGCTTCTCTCTCAAATGATTCACTCACATGCTCAGGAATAATGAAAATCCAGCTTACGTTCCAAGTCTGGTCAGTCCCAGCCTTGTGTCTCATTTCACAGGACACGCGTTCAATCCTTGCTTGACTATTCCAGTGAATCACAGTCTTGGGCACCGGAGTATCGATATTCTCGGCCCTGGAAATGATGGGTGCAGAAGGTATCACTAGAAAAACAAAAACAAAACCTAGCAATTTAAAAACTCACCTAGGAAGAAATTGGCATCTTTTCATCAATACACAGCCATGTTAAAACTCACATGCGTAAAAAAGTCAATTTTGTGATCTAGTTAATAACAAACAAATTTTTTTTTCTTGTTTATTAATCTACATACAGGAGAGACCTGCCGTTACTACTATGAAAATTCTGTTCAGTCTATTCTCCATTTATTTTAGGCTACACTTTTATAGTCCTGTCTTTCCTCCACTTCCCACTCCCTCATAATCCTAACCAATGAAATTCCAGAGTGTAAAAAGAGAATGTTAAAAAAAGAGTGCTGGTGACCTGTAGAAGGTGTTCAATAAATGGACTCAATGACATTGACATCATAATGAGATCATAATGATAGCTGTGATAGCAATACTACTACTAATTACAATTTAGTTCCTAAAACTGGCACTACCAAAATGATCCTGGACATGACAGCCTTTAAACTTCACTAATGCAGCAAACAGAACATGAAATAGCATAGAACTGCATTCTTCTCAAAATGTAAATTCACCAAAATGTATAGACCACGGTCAGGAGAGCAGTAACTCCCAGAATATGCAGTAAAATGGAGTCGTTGTTCATCACCAGTCAACAGTGTGTGTCCCAAATCCAATGTTCAGAGCATGTGGACAGACTTGTAAGCTGATCTACTTAGCTGAGATAGTTGAGGTCAGTTGAGAAGTGGAGCTACTAGTTGTGACACAAGACTTCGGTGAGCCCAAAAGTTTAGCCGCCTTATACCACAAGAGAATGGTTCCCATGCCCCAGGTCATTAGGCAGCAGGAACGTGGCAGATACCTGGAACTGTGCTTTTGTTTTTCTTGTAAAGACAGAAGGTTGGAGTCCAGGATGTTGGAATTAGATGCTCCCTACCTGCAATCTCATTTTTTTAACGCCACTGTGCCTCAGTTATCTCATATATGAATTACCATTTCTTCTACAAAGAGGATTGTTGTGAGGGTTAAATACAGCAATGTACGTAAAAGCAGTTAGCACATAAGAAAAGTGCTCAGTAAAAAGGTTGGTTTATTGGAACCTTCCTTAGTGATAACAGCTGGAGCCCTGGGCACCAGGCACACGTCATACTCAGCGCTCTTGGGCTGAAGTCTCATTTTATGACTTGGATGCAGCTCTAAATGGATCGAGGGTGCTTACTTTTTGGAATTTATCTTAAGGAAAAAACCAAGAAGTAAGAAAAAATGTAGCTGTAAGTTTGTTCACAGGAACGTAGCTTATCATGGTGAAAACTGAAAACAGGACACACTTTCAACACCAGGGATTAAACCACTATCCATTCAACCAACATTACAAATAATATTATAGATTAAATTCATAGAAATGTTCATCCTGTACTATCGGGGTAAAAGACAGTGTCTAAAACTAGAGCAGAGACTGTTAACATTTGTTAAATCCACCTGGTTAACACAGACATGTCTACATAATTCTCCGTGACTTTCTGCGTATTTTATAAAATGTTTTAACCTAAAAACAAAAATAAACCATACATAAGTCCCCAAACAGCATATAGAGCGTAAATTGTTAATACGTCGTGCTTCTCACAACGTAAGACTCATCACACTTTATCAGAATCTTTGTTTCTTCCTGCCTTTCCTGGTAGACTGCAAGTTATTCTAGGGCAGCCTCATTTTCTAACTTACTCTCCTTGGATCTTAGAACAATGCTTGAGACATAGATGTTCCCAGTAAAGACCTATAAACACACACAGCTGTGCAGAACTAAGACTGGAAGGATCACAGCAAAACAGCAGCTGCCCTCCTCACCCTGAGTCGTCTCACCCAGGGAGAGAACAGAGAACTCTTGTCTTTATCTGGGTCTGCAGGAACTTTAGGGGACCTTCTTTCAGATCTAGACTTCACTTGACTAGGTGAGTACAAACTAGATATTTATCATTAAAGGCATCGTGGGATTCCCTGTTCTTTACCTATATCATCCAGGTGAATCTGCAGGTGTTTTGACTCCCCCGTGCCTAGCGCATTCACAGCTCGGACCCAAACCAAATACTCCTTGCCGCCTTGTAATGAGTCAGTGGAGATGTTAATACAGCTCGAGGTGAGATACTGTTGCTCTTCTTCTGTCTCTAAACTTAAAAAAAAAAGATAATTACATTCAACATGAATTATCCAGAGTTTTTTTTGTTTTGTTTTGTTTTACTTCTTTTTTACTTTTTTTTTGTCCAGAATTTTTTTCGTGCTGTCTCTTTTAGCCCTTTTATAGGATGGGCTTTACTGTGAGATGCAACCTTTTACAAAATTTGACTTGATTTTCAGAATTTTTAAACCCAAATTCCAATCTTACAAGAGCCACGCTGTGACTTTGGTGAGCTCCAAGCACTTCTGCCTTTAAGGACCCCCTATTTAAAATAATGTGTGTGTGTATTTATATGCATAAAAATTACGTTGTTTTATAACTATGCTGATATCAAGGCAAATGTATTAAGTATTAAAACATTTTCTTTAACCAAATAGTTTATATTTATCTTGGGCTTTTCAATAAAATTAAGCCTGTTTGTGGACTCCTGTGAGTACCCTGGGCCTCAGCCCGGGGCCCATTATGCATATTGGTTAAGTCTGCCCTGGCCGCAGCTTGAAATAAGCGGCTGCCTCCGGGAGGGAGCTGTGGGTTTGGGGACTTTGGGCTGTAACGGTATATTTCTATCAGGATGTGGGGTGAGGGCAGCTGGAGAGGTCAACATGAGGGGCAACCCCCTCCCCAGTAGAAACAAGTGGCCACTGGAAACAAAGGCAGTGAATGAACTGACGCGGCATTTCTGAGAAAGTTCCAAAAAGTGGAGCACAAAACCCCAAGAGAACTTGAAATGGGGCAGGCCGGGTCAAAGGCCTCCCACAAGCCACTGCCGGACGGGCTTTCCTGTGAGGTAACAGAGGCGCGTGGACAGTCAGTGTCCCGCCACTTTGAGGGTCCCTGGGGCTGTCTGCGCCTTAATGGACGGCAGAGTGATGGGAAATGAAGGTGGTGGTAGGAGACAAATTAAAAGATGATGGAATAATCCAGAATCGGATCACGCAATGTCAACAGATGGACGTGAAGGACTCTAAAAGCAGAACGGACCAGACCGTGAGGGGCTTCATGAGGGGCGAGGGCACGGCTTACAGCTGGGAAGGGTGGATTCTGAAAGCGTCTCGGGAGATGAGTATGGCCCCACCTCAGACTCCCACAGACGCCACATCCACTATCTGTAATCTACCCATTGCTCTCACTAGAGTTCCCTACATTGACATTTCTTGAGCTACACTCTGTTGTTTCCTGTTCTGAAGCCTCTCAGACTTACCTACCGCCCTTGGTAACTACATCCAAATCACCATTTCTGTGTAGTCTGCAGTGCTCTCACTGGGGTTGTGCCTTCACTCTCCCTGGAAACTGCTCTTCTACAGCAGGGCCCTCCGACGCTCACTTAGGCATCAGTCCCTCTTGCTCCCCCACTTCTTCACTTCCCTTGGCCACCTGCACCCTGTCTGCTGGGCTGGCTGTCCTACCCCTCTCTCTCACTCCCACTGGGGCATCTGTCCCCAACACCCTCAGCCTGGGCTCCCCTCCTGGCGCTGAGGCCCCACCCACACTAGGGTCAGCCCTGGCCTCTGCCTGTCTCCTAGGCTCTCTTCCTGGGCGCACTCTCCTTCCTGGCTTCAGCCACTACTCCCCACGCGCATCCCAGCATATCCACACTGTCCTGGGAGCTTCGAGGGGGTGTTTTACAGGGACCAGAAGTGCAGCCAGTTAACAACTGAGTTGTCTCTCTATGCAAACCACATGTGTCAGTCCCTGTGTGGTCAGAGCTGCTGTCCTCCTTTGCCATTTTAACACCTTTCTCTCAGGTGACCTTTAGAACCAATCAATTACCAAAGAAGGCAAAGCACATTTTAAAATACTGTTTTCTTATTTTACCTTTCCTCTTTGTTTTGATAGCTGTGGCCATGGTGTAGGCCTCATATTATGTGGTATATTACAGATTCCTCAGTTCATTGTATTGCATTCCAAAACATAACCTGATATAGATATGCTAATTAAAAAGGAAATGACCTTGACATTTGGACAGTAAGGAAAGCCGAGTAGCCTACATTCTTACTTTTCATGAATGGAAAAACTTCACAAATCTGCATGTTATCATTGATCAGAGGTCACGTTCATCTTCACTCCACTGTTCCAGTTACAGTATTTGTGCTGCCACGGCAAACTCCAACTTTTTTTCTGTTTTTGAGACAGAGTCTTGCTGTGTCACCTGGGCTAGAGTGTCATGGCATCATCCTAGCTCACAGCAACCTCAGACTCCTGGGTTCAAGTGATCCTCCTGCCTCAGCCTCCCAAGTAGCTGGGACTACAGGTACCTGCCACAGCATCCTGCTAATTTTTCTATTTTCAGTAGAAAGTAGATGGGTCTCACTCTTGCTCAGGCTGGTCTCAAACTCCTGACCTCAAACAATCCACCTCCATAGTCTCCCAGAGTGCTGGGATTGAATGTGTGAGCCACCATGCCTGGCCCCAATCTGAATTCTTCACCTGATACCATTTGTAATACTCAAGTCAGATCTGACTTCTGCAATTAGAAGAGGTACTCAATGGGACTTGCATTCATCTTTTGTTATTGGTATATAGAGTGTTATAATTTTAATACAGTTTTCTCCTTTCTCAAAATGAGTATATATAAACTTTTTGCTACTAGCAGAGCAAGGCAACCTGATTAAGTGACCAAGGAATCTCTCTGAGGCTGACGGTCCCTGGGGGTCTGTGGGAAGGGGCTCCCAGCTCGCAGGTGCAGCAACCACTTCTGTTCAGGGCAGGTTTTAAGCTCCAGTGCTCTGTGCATGTTGCCCCTTCCCTCACACCAGCAGTGAGATCTCTGTGAACGCCAGGAGAGCTCAGGAAGGATGTATCACGGTGACCAGAAGCACAGGGCTTTAGACACAAACCCAGGATCAAATCCCACAGCTGCCCCTTGATAAGGTATCCGACTGGGAGCCAATGACTAACCTCTCTGTACTTCTGTTCACTCCTCCATACAACAGGAATTTCGAAGTTATCATGAGTAATTGAGATCAGAAAGCAAGGAGCGGAAGGCTTCACACATCACAAAGGACTCATTACACAATCATCATAACTTAAAAAACATTTATGATATGCAACCTTGACACATTTTAAAGAATACAGATGAAACCTTTAAAATTGCTACATGTCAACTAATGATATTTCTTTTATATAGCTTACATCTAAAGTCAAATTATGCCATTAAATTTAGGTGTTTATACTCTTTCTGAAATAAGAAGGAATATAAACACATCAACAGGCAACTTGTCATAAGGCATGTTAGCCTCATGCTGCATAAGAATTCAACTGTGACAACAAGACCACGGCGGCTTTGTGTAAATGGTAAGCGGGGCAACTCTGAATATTTTCCAGTTAGAGAAACCACATTACATGTTCTTAACTGGTTTGTGGCTAACTCTTTTACCATGCATATTGAGACCACAAGTCAAAAATGAAAATGTATTCTCAAACTGACATTAACCAAGTAATTTAATTCTGCTTTTAAGCTCTACCCCATATTAGCACTTAGACCACAAAGCACTATTTTAGTTGAAGAATCCAATAATAATGACTGACTACACCTTGAGACTATTTTTACAAAGAATTTACGACATTGTGATGTAAGAAATGCATATTTGGTTTCAGCCTGGTTCCTGGCACCCACAGCTCCTAACCCTGTTGGAATCTCCAAAGTGCTAATGAGATGCCCCATGGCCCCTGGATAGCCCCAGGGTGGGGGCTGGCTGCAAGGGGAGCTATGTGATGAGAGGGTGGGAACTTTCAGCTCTCAGCCCCCTCTACCCCACTCCTCCCCCATCTCTGAGGAAGAGAGAGGAGATGAAGGTTGAGTAGATCACCAGTGGCCAGTGATGTAACCAGCCGTGCCTATGAATGAAGCCTCCATAAGAACCCAAGAGGCCTGGGTACAGGGAGCTTCCAGGCAACGTGGAGACAGCTGTGGGATGGAGAGCCACACGCCCTCCCCATGCTCCTCTTCCATCTGCTGTTCTCCTGTATCCTCTGTGATGTATCATGATGGCTTCATAATAAACGGGTAAGCATAAGTAAAGTCTTTCCCTGACTTCTGTGAGTCACTCAGCAAATTAACTGAATGTAAGGAGCAGGTTGTGGGAGCTCCAATTTTTAACCCATTGGTCAGGAGCGCAGGTCATGACCTGGGGCTTGGGACTGGCATCTGAAAGAGGGGACAGTCTGGCAAGAATGAGCCTTCACCTTGTGGGATGAGACGTCGTCTAAAGTGAATTAAATCAGAGGACAACCAGCAGAATCTGCTGGAGAACTCACTGGTGTATGGGGAAAACCTCTCCACGCCTGGCACCAGCAGTGCTGTGCTGAGAGCAAATGTTTCATTTCTCGTAGCTCTCTTACAAAACTGTACATTCCAAAGTTTTTTAATTTCTTTGTTTTTCTTTTTCTCATGTAGCAGATTGTTTGTTGAAAGGAGGCAGCATAATTTATACTTTTCTGATGCTCCCTGAGCACCTACTCCTAGTTACAACTCATAGAGTTTCAATAAACACTGCTGATTTATGGTAAATGGTGCCTTTCACTCCTCTAATCATTCATTCAACTGTATTTGTTTAACTGTTCCAACCACATCTTTAGACACTGGAGCTCCACTGAACAAAACAGATAAAGCCCCAACTCTTGTGGAGACATATTCTGGTGGAAACAAAAATATATATATATATATAGTACGTGCTGTGTAAACAAATGTTCAGAGGAAAAACACTCAGAGTAAAGAGGTTATGAAGTTCTGAGAATTGGGGTAGAGGATTTTTTTCTTTTCTTTTTTTTTTTTGTCACCGTCATAGAGTGCTGAAGCATCTCCCACCTCAGCCTCCAGAGTAGCTGGGACGACAGGCGCCCACCACCACGCCTGCCTGTTTTTTAGAGACAGGGTCTCCCTCTTGCTCAGGTTGGTCTCCAACTCCTGAGCTCGAGATCCAACTGCTTTGGCCTCCCAGAGTGCTAGGATTACAGGTGTGAGCCACCGCACTAGGCTTTTTATTTTTTCTTGA